AAGCTTTATGGGGTGCTGTACTTGATATGGCTGTATTCTGTAATTGCGTTTTCCAGCCGAACTTTTACTAAGCAATTATTCAAAAAAGCTTGAACTAATTGTAAAAGGAAGCAGGGCCACCCTTGCTAGTGTATACATTCTAATAACCTGTTCAATAGGAGTATATCGAATACACCTTATATATTCAATATAATCATTATAACTTCTTATTTGTAGGCAAAGGCCTCTTCGATATTGTATACAAATAAAGTGACTAGATCTATTATTGTTTGCTTGAGAAATACTCTATTATATTGAAAGCTAAGTATATCTACTATCATTATGGTTTATAAGATACATCAAGCGATTATATATTCCAGATCCTTCGAGATATATAAGAGTAGGACTATCAATCACCAGGATCGTATTAACGATTTATCTTCTTTTCAATCTTAAAAATCATTACTATCTTTGCCCATTTTTATCTATTTAGAAAATAGCTAAATTGTAGATATCTATTAAAGATCCCCATCAAGCGATGCAACACTACGATATTGTAATCAAGTGGTCCCCTGGGCATACTGAGATTGAGGGTAACGAGGCAGCCAATTGCCTTGCTGATTAGGATACGGCTGGGCTACTTGACCCTAGCTTATTCTATCTCTTTACAGTCAGTAGCTCCTATTCTATTCTATATGCTAAATATCGATGCTCTGAGAATAGATAATGGAAGGAAAAAAGGGGCCTGATTTCCGAAATGTATAATATATGGAAACCGGTATATAATATCTCAAAGCCGGAAAGCCTCAAGCTCTTTTGTGGGATACTATATAGACTTATAGCGATGCGGACCGAACACAGTGATTTTGCAACTTATTACATCAAATTCAATCACGAAAATAGCACGAACATTTATATATATAGGATTGAAAAAAGCCCATTGTATTTCTTTCAATATTCAATTAATAATCGGATATATAACGACTAACCGCTTACACCAAATCGACTTCGATCCGAATAGAACACAATAATATATATTAACTGCATTCTGCAAATACAATATAGCTTTACTAACCTTCTCACTAAATTCAGATTCTATATTAGGATATACTCAAACTATACGAAACTACACGAATTCCAACTTGCTTTAATATCCCGAAAATGAGTTTTCCACTCTAATCAACCTAAGATCTATATTGAACAACTATAAACACTCCAAGTGTTTTCCCAATCGATAATGATTGATCTGATTATCCACCAATATCCGGATAATATATAAAACAAGGCTCTCTAAAACAGAACTACAAATCCTTAGATAGAATAGCTGTAGGATTGCTATAAGCGATATTGAGTAGGGGAATACCAGAGGCAACAAGCCTCTAATTAGCTAACATTATACTACTATAAGCGGCTGGAACGCTAGCGGCCCGTAGGCCTGCTCTTTAGTACATCTAGAATACCCCTTGGGAGGTCAGATAATAGATGTTAATCACTATAAATAAATAAATAAATAAAATAAAATATTAAAGATCCCAGCAATTACCAATTCAATAGAGTCCCAGCAAGCCTTCAGAAGGCGAACAGTAACCTGGTCGAACCCCGGTGAAATGCTCGAAACTCCTATGACGCTCTTTTCTACTTCTTCGAGGGACACTTCCGTGCTCCATGGGAGTTCGTTGACAATACTTATATTACTTACAACAAGAAAAAAATTTTCTTTATTTGCTATACAGATCTTTCAATATAATAATCAAAATATTAAGCAATCTAAAAAATATATTACGGAATTCACTATATAGTGTAACCCTACAGTATTAATCCTAGTACTCTTTCGGAGTACTTATTCCCATAATTATTAAAACTATTTCATTCAGTTTATTTGTATATCCTATATATCTAATTAGGCGACTTTATTGCCTAATCAGAGTATATAAATCAGATATAATCTTTATGATCATATCTCAAGTCAATCTAGTTTATTATCACTCTATATACCTATCTCCTGATCAAAGTAACCATTAGACATAGCTATTACCTCCGTGATAATTATATAAAAAATTTCATAATTTCCTTTAATAAAACTTATATTTTTAATTCTATTATAAGATATATTAATCAGTAAATAGTTTCTTATATAAAAATTCAATATCTTATTTATTAATATTATTATTATAAACTTTTAGAATTTCAGATTTTTTATTTCAAAATGTTATATTAATTTATTCAAATTATTTTAATTCTGAATTTCAAATAATTTAATAACTTTTTTAATTTTCAATTCAATTTAATATAATATTTTATATGAATAATAAGAGTGTGTATATAGTAGGGGATATCGGTTAATTTCCATTTACTCTCTCAGGCATTATTTTCTGCTTCAATTCATATACCACCCCAATATAATCCTTCGCGCTATATGGTTCAAAGATTTCCCAAAACCAACTTGACTTTCTATGACTTCTCAATCCCATGTCCTTCAGCAACATATCATAATATGGTAACCCATCAAAAACCGTATCAGGATGTCTAGCACCAAAGCCTGAAGGATATCTCCACTTTCCAAATCTATTGTGTAGAACAGTTTGATATTCCATGTCGGAAGGAATGGAGACTTTATTGTTGAAAAACGCAGTAGCCCAAAGTGCTTGAAATTGAGCCAGGATTGCTGTAGAGACCGATGTCATACAACCCAGAAAAATGATATCCCTAGACTCGACGAATTTAGGAGGGACCATGAAACGAAATAGTCTAAAAGGCTCGAGCCTTCCTTCGGGGGCTCCTTCCATTGGCTTTACTCTCTTAACTGCAAGTGGCTCGTCCTTCAATTTGGGAAACTTGGAGAGAATTTCCTTATCGGCTCTTTCTATCAAATCAGTTGGTTCCTCGGATCCTGGGGCGTGCGGAAGTCCTAAATCTATTCCTCTAGGGAGAAATTCTAGTGGCGGTACATGTTTCCATCCGGTAGCACAGGCGAAAGCGTCAGTTTGCAGTTTTTCGCCGTTTGAAAGGCTCACTGTGTTCGCACTTAAGTTTACAATATCTCCGATGTGCACAGAGATTGCACCTTTGCGAACAAGTTCGAAGATATCCGTATCATGATTCAGAATCGAAAGCATCGTTCCAACGTAGAAAGAGCTTGACCAAGGTTTAAGCTTCGCAGTCTCTGGGTGTTTATCGTACCCATTTACCGTTTTAATCTCGTTTTCTGAATTGGCCCAATACTTATCGACAAACCAGCGACCAGCTGCTGTACCGTGCAACCAGGAACGGACCGTTCCATATCCATCATAGTCACCATATATACAAGGACTAAACCAAGTCAAAATTCTCGTGTTGACCATCTTTTCGATCCAGATCTTGAGAGGCGTGGCGTACGACTCAGCCATCCATCCTGGGCCATGCCCTGACTCTCTGATAATCCAGTCCACATGGACCCCCTTCGACGCATATGCGTAGGCCATATCAAAAGAGGATTTTGCGCCTCCAAAAACACATACGCTTTTCGCTGTCTCAAGAGTATCCAAGTGATTCGGAAATTCTTTCGTATGAAATACAGGTGGTGTGAAGCTCTCAATTCCAGGAAGTGGAGGAACGAACGGTAGTGAAGTCAGTCCTGTCGCAACGATAAGTTTCGATGTGGATATCTTATATTCCTCGAAAGTAGCCGGAACACTGCTTAAACCAATCGTGACAATCCAGCCACCTTCATCTTGATGCTCGGCTGAGATGGCTTTACTCTCAAATCTAATCTTATCATAGACATTGTATTCTTTCGCAAAGTCTTCGAGATATTGATGGACTACTGACCCGGGAATATATTCTCCAGGTTTAACACCATATTTCTCTGTAGTCATAGGAAACTCGCTATACTCTAGCGATCCTAACATATTATTCGTTTTCAGCCCAGGATATAATCTATCAGTGGCCCATACACCCCCAATCGTTGCATTATCAGCCAACACAACGACATTTGCGTTAGGGTGGACTTGGAGATAGGTTTTTGCACCAGCGAGACCAAACCAACCTGTCGCATTGAAAGTCAGCATATTGATATCTCTTATCTCTTTATGAAGATTAAGTTACCTGCTCCGACTACTACAAGATCAACTTTACCGTCTCGTGACATGTTTAACTCCTATGATGACTGACCGATATAGTTAAGAGGGAAAAATAGTATCGCAAGGAAGGTCTTCATATATCTATGTTTTTCCCTCTTTCTTCGATTGACTTCGATGCTACAAGCTTATCGCAGGGGTTTTGGGTGGCATCCTTTGATTTGTTGTTAATCCATGGCTCCAAGGCTCCAACGGTTTAACAGTGGAGTGCTCACGTACAAATCTTCTGACAAGACTTTTTATCCATACAAAACTGATGCCTAACCAACCGGATTGCACCAGAATATCAATTTGACTTTGTGGGTATTCAGACATAAAAAGGTGGGCGAGTGAGATTTTGGGTCGAAATTCATATGCAGGATTGCACGTGTTACGTTTGCTACAAAAGCACAAGCCCCCCTTGTCCGTAACGCAACCTGCCTTTTTCGGATATATATATATCGTAAAACGCACTGATGGCTGTTTCGGGAAGCTCATGATCTGGAGGTCAAATTGTTTCACTTGGTACATTTTCTCCTCGTAGATATCTGTTTCAATTCGAAATTTATCCAAGACATATCTACCATTGCGAGATATTAGGATGCCATAACCCCTCGAGCTGAGCAATATACACGTTGCGATACAAAATCCGAATCGCAATATGTCTACGAATATTACATGTGTACGATTTTCGGTGGCAAAATGCTGTACATCCGGATCCAATTCGGAGATTGGCCTAGTCCAATCATGATTCAATTGACAATTTGAAAATATCTCAAATATCGAAATTGTTTGGGATATCAAAAAGTCGCTCCAGATTTGCAATTTCAGGTCATTGGGAACGCTGAACGTGGATGAGATATTATATGTTGAAAGTGTCTTGTACGAGCCGAATTGATGGGCTTGAAATTCTGGATGCATAAAGCTTCATGAAGTGACTCCAGTAGCTTCTGGACCATCAAGCTTCCCGAAGATGTTTGGTGCAATCTCATCTACAATCTCCCAATCATGCGGTATATAAGCCCTGAACTTGCCCATTAAAATCCCGACATTACAACTACACAACTGAACATTCTCAATCGAAGCTCTGAAATAAGTACCACCTTCAATCCAAACCTCTTTTGCCTTTTCGTCGTACGAGAAGCCATTTATCACTTCGCTTAATTTTGTCAATTCGATAGACATACTCACTTCGTGAGGGAGCATCGATGTACATGATAAAGCGTTGCACGCTTCTTGTCCGTACATGCAATGGGTCCAAATGACTAACGCTGCGGATGCTAAAGCTATGTAGGAAATTGGGTCGGGGATGAAGTTGGCGAGAGAGTGTGTTCGGTTGAGTGCACTGTGGCTTAGAAGAATTTCAGTGGCATGCCATAACGCGCGCCGAGAGCTAGGCTCTTGTGTCCATGCACGTGCTGCCAAAACACGTCTGGTATGGGGTTGAGAATATATATCTCCGAACACTCCTCGGACTTTATCAGAAAGTGTCAGATCTTTGGCGAGCATCCTGATAGTCTGAGTCTCGGTGAATAGTTGTAAATTCATCAGATGACGAAGGATAGAAGTGTCGAAGATGAAGCTATGAATGCGTCGGTAAACTATATCTTGCCATCCGGGCTTATCATGATCTTCAGGTCCATAGTAGAAATGCACGGGAGACTGTCCTGCTTGGTCAAATGCATCGGGGCTCGATATTTTCCCGGAAAGATTTGAGAACCCACGTTTTAGAGCTTCCAGTTGGCGTTTAAGTGATTGTCTTTGAATATTCAAACTCAGTTCATTCCGTCTCTCAGGTTGAGCCTGCTTGGAAAGCTGCAAGATTTCTGACTGCATAGCCCAAAGACAAATCTGGATATCTTCTAACATGGACTCATTTTCTGAAAACTCAATTCCTCCAAGAGCGACTTCTTCAATCATCACATTGATTGAACGATGGCTTCTAGATTTCGGTTCACCCGGTTGACGAGCCGCCCAAATAGGAAGTCCTACAGCATTCCAAAGCGCGATGGTTTCTGGAATACTGAAGTGTAGTTCTTCTGGCTTGAGTAAAACTGGCTGCACGGTTATGGCAGTGAAATATGTGTCAATCTTGAAGAGATCAACTGCTATCCTCTTTCTTTGCTGGTCTTTAACCGAACGCAGTGGTAGAAAATACCCGGGCTTATCGTCTGGATAGATAGTCCCAGGTGTCAAGATTCCAGCTCCGTATATGGAGGCGCCTAGGAGGTTGCGTAAGATCAGTCCTTTTCTCAAAACCTCACGTTTCCACAGTATGATGCAAAAATACTATTCAACAACGTGCACTGGTATAAAACAATCGGCAGAGGCTGTGTCATTGTATCTATATCCTTCAGCTGGCATAAACGCGGGATAACATGCTCTACCAAATTATGGTGAACTTTCAAAGCCCAATCTCTCGAGCTTGGAGTCCCGTCAATCCAACCTCCAATCATCAATATAGATGGGAGTAGAAGCTCAGGTGCCTCTTCTTCATCCTCATAAGTTGGGGAATGGATTATGGGCCAGCGATCGTGGAAATTGGCAAAGTATAGATAACGATATCTCTCGACAGTTTCTTTGGCAACTGTTGAACATAGGTATCCAAGCTTAGATATGGAAACAGGGGTATTTTGAGGTGCTTCTCGAGTTTGAGGAGCATCTTGTTGGATCCTGACATTTGACCAATCGATGTCATTTGACCAATCGACAAGCCCGTGAGGCGTGCGCCTCAGATTCAGTGAGAGCGAATCTTCAGCAGTGACCGAATTATTGAGCACATTCCTGCTTACCGACGAATCATGTGCCTCTTGTAAAGGGCTGTGTGTTGGAATAGAGTCGAATGCGTGTTCCGAGTGGGAAGATTGACCGGAGTTGAATGCTTGAACCACATTGGATATTTGATTCGTAACAGTCTCATCAGGATTGAGTGTCTGGTCAGTCTGTGGACTTTCAACGGACATCTGATCCCCTTGTACATTTTCGGATATTGAGAATTCCGAACCCTCCCAATCGCTCAAATCATCTTTGGAGGATTCATCTTGCCTGCTGGCTATAGCAGATAGTCCTTGACGCAACCCATATTGGCAGGGAGTATTCTTCTTTTCACATCTGAACATGATCATTTCCATCGCATTTGATTTTACTGGTATGACAAGCCGCGCATGCCCTCCTGCTTCGACCAGTAGGTTTTTTGAATTCTTGCCCGTGACGTCCAAGATGTCTCTGCAGTCCATCGCTACGAGAAAACTCTTTATGACATATTCTACAAATATGTGCAGTAGACGAGTCGGAATGTGATTTTTGATGTCGAGTTAAGTGCTCCTTCCGCTGAAACGATTTCGTACATCCTTCGAACTGGCACGACCATCTAGGTAGTGTTTCTTGGCTATCCATTGACACGAAGGATGAAATAAATGGCTAACCGAAATACAGCTAAGGTATCACCCACAGCACTCATCCATATCTCAATTCATATTTATAAGAGTTAAAAAAACTGTTGTAGGTACCTAGGTAGTTTACGTTAAGGTTTGTCATCCATCTCGTGTGGTTGATAGTCCGTGAGGTGGGGCCGAGCCGAGATGAGAAAGTGTCACGTGACAGCTGAGTTTAGAGTTTTTACTACCCGGGAAAAGGAGGTCATAATCGAAACGCGGAGAAGCTAAATTGCCTAGAGATTGATTACCATCGTTCTGTGTTGCGGTATTCTTCTTTTTCCAAAGATGTAAGAGGAGGGCGGCCGAAGATTACTTATCCTCCGAAGAAGCTAAAACTCTAGAGCCCAAGGCCGCCCGCGGCGACCTTCATGCTATCACTAAGCATTTCATCTGCACAAGAAGTGGAATGCTGGTGTGTTTTTGATGATAACCAATCAATAAATGTATACATGAGATCAATAGTTAATAATAGAGGTTGTGGATTTACATGCAAGGTTTAACTTATTGTTGAAGCTCGATGAGCGACCCAGCTTTATTAGCTCCCTAGGTACTTGTCCACTCCTAGTGAACCCTCAATGAGTGTTTAGGATTGTGGTCTTAAACCCCATATGACTAGCTCAGTTTCTAACCACAGTGAAATTATATAATCAAACAACAATCTTTCTATCTCCAAGATTTTGTACCTGTAAACTTTTCCATCATCTAGAGGAGTGTCCATTTGGGGTTTTAATATGTTAATATCCAAGTCTGGACGACCATCTAAACGCCAATTCAAAGTGAAACACTGAATGTCATGGAAAGGATTTATCACCTCGAGAAAAGAGGGATAATCCGATGAATAACCCCTCAGAAGGTAAATGCAATGAAATATATTTAACTTTTTCTTACATCCTTCTTGGGGCCTTGATGATCAAGCGACCGTGAGGGATGCTTTACACTTCGGCTCCCCCCACATCGCTTGTTTCTCCCCCCTTGAAGATGTGAGTGGAATTCCGCGAACAACTTATATATAAACGACGAATTACTTGAACATAAAAACTCATCATTCAAATAACAATCTACTCATTTCATCAAAGTCCTTAACCATTCAATATTTACAAAAATTTCAAGAATCAACCATTCTAAATACCAAGACCATCTTCATCATGAGTGTCATCAAGAACGTAGCTATCACCGGTGTAAGTAAATCAATCTTCTCTAAACCTATCATGGCATGATCTAACTCAAATAAAGGCAGCTGGTGCCCTTGGCAAGCCCATTTTCGAAGCCCTCGTGTCATCCAACAAATTCAACATCACAGTCCTCACTCGCTCCACCTCCACCTCCACCTACCCCTCAAGTGTGACTGTCCTCCCCGTAGACTTTGACTCCATTCCCTCTCTCACAGCCGCCCTCCAATCACAAAAAATCGATGCCATCGTCTCCAGCGTCGGAACCGAAGGTCTCCTCGGCCAAAAAGTCCTAATCGACGCCGCCGTCGCCGCAGGCGTAACCCGTTTCATCCCTTCAGAATTCGGTTCTGACCTTTCTGACCCACAAACTAAAGCCCTCCCTGTCTTTGGCTACAAAGTAGCCATCGTTTCTCATCTCGAAGACGTTGCTGCCAAGAACACAAGTTTTACATACACATTTATTCGCAACGGCGCATTTCTCGATTGGGGACTTGAGTACAATTTCATCCTCGATGTGACATCTGGAAAACCATCTATTTACAACGGCGGTGATAAGCTATTCAGTACCACCACTCTCGAGACCGTAGCTCAAGCCGTCATAGCTGTTCTCTCCAAATTTGAAGAGACGAAAAACCGAGCCGTGTATATTCAAGATGTGCAAACATCTCAGAATCATCTCTTGTCGATTGCGAAGAAGGTTTGCCCAGAGAAGAAATGGGAACCCGTTCCGGTGAACACGGCTGATCTTTTCAAGTCTTCAAATGAGAAGCTTGCAAAGGGGGAAATGACCAGGGAGGTTGTGTTCGGATACCTTCTTACTGCGGTTTTTGGAGAGGGATATCCATCGAGATGGGAAAAGGCGGATAATAAATTATTGGGTTTGAAGGAGAAGACCGATGCTGAGTTGGAAGCTATTGTGAAGAAGTATGTCAAGTAATGGGAAATGTCTTGGGAGAATATTAGATTACAATGTACATCGATTTTATGGACAAACTATAAATGACACAATATTCTCGTTCCTGTTCACAACTTTTGAATCTTTAATATGTATTACGTATTGCTGAGAATGTTTCCTATGTTTCCTATGTGAAGATATGAAGCTAAGGAGGATGGAGAGGATAGGGAGGATGAGACAAAACTACAATCAAACGCTTTTGCTTTTTTTCAACTAATTATAGAGCTATCAACCATAGATATCTGAGTTTGTTTTATTATAATACTAAGAATTCATTCTTAATTTGATAGTGATTAGAGCGTGTAATACCACATGCGTGCCGTCGTGATATAGACTAATACTTTCTTCAATTTAGCGATTAATACTCCTAGTAAATCTAGTTAATAATGATATGATAATAGTAATCTCATCAAATTGTTTGTAATAGAATCTTGCTCTATTCGACTCTAATGTCTGTATTATCAAACCCCCAGATCTCTCTTCAAAATATCCGCCCCCTTCTCTGCTACCGCATAAACAGTACTCAAGACATTCCCACGAGGCTCAATCGGGATAACACTCGCATCACAAACTCTCACATTCGCCGTTCCATACACAACCAAGTTCTCGTCAACAACCCCATCCAAATCCTCACTCATCATAGCACATGTTCCTACGGGATGGTAATTCGTCGCTCCGTATTGGCGAATGAAGCGTGTCACTTCCTCTACGCTCGTGGCATGGCGAGGAAACCCACTCGGTAAAGTGTTACCACCTGGCTTGAGAAGCGCAGACAGCTTGGGCTGTTCCAGCATTTGGCCGATTTGGATGATGTGGCGAGATAGGATTTCGGCGTCAAGGGGATGTTCAAGATAGTTGATTTTGATTTCAGGATACTTGCTGGGGTCGGCAGTCGTGATATGGGAGCTTCCACGAGAGAAGGGGTAGGAAAGCATAGCTAATATGGTCATGTAGTTCCCTGGTGCAGGTGCAGTACTCGGAGTATATCGTTGTTTCCGTGTCATGAAAACTGTTGAGGATGCTTCTTCTGGGTCGAGGATTATGCGCTTGATGATATCGTGCTGAGCTTTTAGTCCTTTGCTGGACGTTGATGAGGTTTCTAGGAGGATCTTGTTGACGAGAGACGACAATTCGCGTTCTTCTTCCTCTGAGTTGAAGGCCTTTAGTGGCAAATAGGAGAAACTATATGCAGCACCTTCTGCAAGCCGACCTATGTGCTTGGCTTCGTACAGTTTCTTGGCGGCTTCAATTATTGTGGGATCACGGGCAGAGACGTCTGCTGTTTCGATATCGTCAAACACTTCAACGGAAGGCCCAAAGTTCAGATGGTCTTGAAGATTTTCTATTTTCACACGTAAGCATCATATGAGTCAATTTGCCTAGTAGCCATTCTTACCACCGACACCCTCGAGTTCACGAAGACATTCGATACCCGCAGTAGCAAGTCTTTCACGTTGTCCAATTCCGGATAGCTCCAGTAATTTTGGTGATCCAAATGTCCCAGCACATACCACGACTTCTCGATTCGCATGAGCAATCACAGTTTCCCCATTGTCTTGGCTGTAAAGAACACCTATTGCAACAGCCTTACCGTCCCTCTTCTTATCTCCAAAGATAATCTTATTCACCAGCACATTACTTCTGACGACGAGATTATCTCGTTTCGTGGACGGCTCCAGAAATGCGACCCCAGCATGGCTCCTTTCGCCTTTGCAAGAATCAATAGCATTCGTCGTTGTAGACCCTCCCAGAACATCTCCCTCAACTGGGTTCTTCGACGAGCTATATCCCAGATCTTGGATCGCATCCGTCCAAGCTTTCTGCATCGGATGTAACGTCACAGGGTAGGAAGCTTGAATCCCCTCCTCATACTCGCTCTCGTCATGCCTACAGACATATCCACCTTCCATCGCGAAGTCTCCAATCTCCAACTCTCGCTTAACCTCCTCGCCAGGTGCTTGCAATTTTTGAAACCTCGTATAATACTTCCCAATCCCTTCCCAATCCCAACCTTTCCCAGCACCCACCAAACTTCCCCACGCATCATGATATACGCTCGACGGATACACCAATGCATGTGAATTGATCGCACTACTCCCACCCCATAGCTTTCCCCGTGGCTGCAAAATCACTCTACCATTCAAACCCTGCTCCGACACGGTCCGGAATCCCCAATCATAATTCTGATTTCCAAGTAATGAACCAGCAAGGCCTGGGGTACTGACTTTGGGGTCTGAGTTGCGATTTTGACCTGCTTCGAGTACGAGAACACGAAGAGTGGGGGTAGAGGAGAGGCGTGCTGCCAGGACGCTACCTGCTGTTCCACCGCCGACGATTATTACGTCAAAGGTGTCGACGTCTTTATTTTCCAAAGACATGTTGAAACCAGGAGCTAGTATTTTTTACACGAAGACAAAATTTGAGCTCGAAAGTATCCTGCCATCGCAATGGCGATGTAGTAAGAGATGAGAGATGGCGCTTAACCGCCCAGGCACCAGCTTACTTCCACCTGCCGAAAGAGTATCTGAGAACCCCACTTTACGCCATAGGAGTAATTATGTAATATTGTAAGATATGTTATCGTAGCAAGCGGAGACGTGAACATAGTATAATTGAAGTAGAGTAATACGTATTATCAAAGAGACTGTTACAAGATGCAAACCGAAAAAAAGTCTGCATAATGATTTTCTCGCAAGCTTTAAACATTGCCAGATAAAACATAGTATCACAAAAATGGCGGACTATGTTTTCAATGCTGTTCTAGATGATAGTAACGAATATTGGTATTTATACCTGAAATATATACCACCTTGTCCCAATTTCCTCAATGCGTCTAATCATTAACCAAACCAATAACCCAAGGTTTAAACGCCGTCCCAGATCATAAGTACTCATGTTGTTTCATCGTGTTCGTCCATTTACCATGCCGCCTAAAAGCCCCGGCCAAGAATGCTTTTCCCACAAGAGAAATACAAGAATACCAACAGGTACGCCGATAGTAACCAAAAGAGCGTTTCTGCACCACCACCCAAGGCCAACCAGTGAATGGTTATATCCAACCTTATAATGATGATCCCACCGGGTATCCAGAAAACACCATGGCCCAATTTTCCACCCGCCAAAAGAATTCCCATGCAAGCATGCTTTCCCGTATCTCATACAACTATGTATGTATATACATCCATTCTGTCTAAAAGTCATGTACAGTTCCAAGCCTGATTGTAGTCATTGTCTAGGCATTTCTGCCTGCAGCAGCCTCACCACGATTCATTCTGTTGTTAAGAGCTGCCGCGTTGAACATGAAATCGCGATTAATGTCCATGCTTCGAGCGATCCGCCCACCTGGCGTGTTGGGATTAACAACGTTCACACGGCCACGATTTGAAGCTCGCTGTACGTCTTCGTCATCTGTGTGATCTTCCTCCTCATAATCGGCCAATCTTGTGAAATAATCAGCAAGCCCGTCGACGCTAGGCGTACCAACAACATGATCATACATGGGAGGGGGTGTTGGCATCGGTGGAGGAGGCTCATCAGCCTCATATTCAGGAGCAGCAAAACTCGGGTTGCGTAACATGTGGATGGGTCGTTGAACTGCTGTATTCATTGCAAGATGTGCTTGTGGTGGTCTAGTCAAAAGCTGAGCGGTTTCTGGGCGCGCAACCGTCGACTGACCAAGACTCTGCCTCAGATTATCAAGAGAAGAAGCTCTCGAGGCTGATGTTACTGGCGTATTCTCCACACTGGCTGCATTAGGACAACCACATTGACGCTCATTTTGAGAGCGAACACTCGGGCCACCGAGGTCACAGTATGCAGGCAAAGCCATTTGCATTTGGGACGCGTGGCAGCTGAGAATAGTAAAGGGGGAATCGATAGAAATCTCAAAATGGCGGCGCTTTTTACCAGTAGGGTCATCAGGATCTTTGCGGGATATGCGCATGGCAATCTAAAAATAGGGTAAGCAAATGTCTTCCAAAGGGCGATTAATTAATGTGAGCATTTGATTTACCTTGAACCAGTGGTGTACCCTAGCATTCTTCCATGAACAATCATGATGAAGACGTTTGGATTCATCCTTCTTCATCATCTCGCATGTGGGCAATTGAACTGACATCTCCAATTCTGTTGGGCCAGCAAAGTGGTCAAGCCCAAGGTCGAGATCACCTAGTATATTGTTGGACTCTTCAGGTAGAGGTTCTGGGGTGGTGCCCAACTGTCTTGCTATTCTCTCCCTCTCCCTCTGTGCAGTTGCCCGCGCGTGAGCTCTTTCTGAAACAGAGAGCTCGCCTCCACGGAGAACTCGCAGTTCAGAGTTTCTAAACTCTTTGGAGGGATCCTGGTTCGCCAATTTCTCGAACAGTAATAGTTTCTTCTGTTGCTTATCCTTTCTAGTTATATCACCACTGTTGTTGTGGTAATCAATAGACTCCGTAACATAAATCCTGATCTTGTGAATTTGAACTTTTGCCAGAGGGGTTAATTTGAAAGCTATAGGAATCTTAGAGCCAATTGGGAAGGATTTTCCGGAAATCATGATATCATAATGTAACTGGTCATCCCAATTTCTGCTTATTGAGATGGGTTCGACCAATTCCAATGACTCAATGTTTGGTGTTCTGATGACCGGTACTTCCTTGACTCCAAAAAGATTGGCACGAAAGGCACCCGCCCTTTCAACCAGAGTTTCCACTTGCCATACCACAGAAGCCATCGGGAGTTTTGTGGTTTCCGGAGAGTTATTGTCAATTGGCAATTCAAAAGTGTATTCGTATACTCCAGGATGGAAAGTTTTGTACCCTTTTTGTTGGGGTGTTGGGCCATTGGGAGAGTCTCCCTTTTGAAAGCTACGGGACTGGTTATTCTGTAGTGACAACCTCTTTGTTTCCTTTGATGTCATAAGGGTACTTGCTCTACTTCTAGCACCGAGTAATGTCGATATCCCAGAGCTTGGTGAATCCAGAGGGGTTATAGATGTCGTCCCAGATTTATCCCGCAAATAGTAATTGCAGTGCGTTCCATAGCCGACATCAGAACCTTCATACAAAGCATTGAAGAATGGTAGAACTTGTGTTCGAAGCGAGTCTTCTTGAAAAGTTTCTGTTCTGTTCGGTGGCAATCCTGTGTGGTTGTAAGCTTCCATGATCAGAATGTGTAAGTAAATTGAGTATTGCATACCTTCAGGCCATTCAGTTCGCGCCTTTCCTCTGAATGTTAATGTAACTGACTTGATCTTGGCGCTTTTTGTAACATTAAGTCGAACTTTGCCACGGAGAATCCCAAGAGTATTGTGGGATTCAGAATTGCGAGTTGTACCGTCGTGGTCCAAACCAGTCAGGTAGACAATGGGTTCAGCGAACGGAACGTAAACAGATACACCGTTGCCTGACGCAACAGGTTTCTCATTTTCCCCAATGTTCGCTATTGGGGATGGCTTTGAAGTTCTAAGGCTCAAATCAAGGTCCGGCTGGCTGTTTCCTAAGGGCCGGTTTTCGATGCCTACTGCTTCCATATTACTAGGCCCAGGCCCTGTCATTATTCCTCCTTCCGACCCGGCCTCCAACCCAGAACTGGATTGGGCCCTTCTAGAAAATATGCTTCGACGATCCCCCGAATTGGTCCGTACTGATTGTGAACGACTCACTTGCGGACTCGGCGATCTCGTGGATGATGCGGCAGAGGATGTTGGCGAAGAAGGTTGGGATGAAAAGGGCGAGAAAACAGAACCTAGCACACGCTTTGCGCTCTCTCGGGAAGCCAGCTTGTTCAATTGGGACTTGGTTCGGGAAGGCTTTTTAGGCCCTGGTGGGGATGATGGAGGTCTTAAATCAAATGGAACAAAGCCTGCGGGGAGACGAGTTATATGGATGGAATGAGGTCGACGTTGTCTAGGTCGGCAAGGTGGGATAGGAAGAGTTGTGTTCCGTGTCTTGTCTGCTCGGAAACTGGGAGGGTTGTAGTATACCGTTCCTCGACTAGTGAAGTATGGGATTGAGATTTGGCCTGTCATCTTGCGTATTAATGATTAATTCTCTCGAAAATATCTCCGGAAATGTATGTGCTGAATGAGTGTGTGAATCCTCTCGATGAGGGGTAGTAAGAAATAAAACGAAAGTAGTCGCAAACTGTGGGTGGTATTCGAGATGCAGTATGTATCTGATTGAATCCCACGAGGCAATGGCACAATATTATAATATTGTGATATCAGATCACACTGACACCAGATGACCCAAGACTCAAAGCAGTGATGCAGAAATATATTTGGGCAGGGTGAAGCTGGTAGGGCATGAATATGAGGGGGGCATGATTCAAGATGCAATTTGTCGCACAACCAAGTCACGGAGGTGTGTTTGAGGAATTGGGACTTACAATATTGGGTAGATTGCTATGAATTTGTTTGTTGTCAGATGCTTGGGCAACTTATAAAACAAGGAGTAAGGTTTATGTCTGATTGCCAGCACATGTAGACGAGAATGCGAAGTAAAGTACTGCGTTATTGTACTACGAAATCGCAGGAAGCGGTATGCTTGTTTCCTTATATTTCCAGGTATTCGAGATTCAAGCAAAAGATCTGCTGGCAGGGTTGATATTGATGCTTGTATAGCTAGGGATCCTGGAAACCCCACATACAACAATATATCGCGATGAATGGACGATTGGACGATGAGAACCGGGTCAGCAGGTTATCAAATACCGATACATAATTCTCGGGATGATGGGATAGAGGAAGTACAGAGCAGAACTCAGTCGTTGTGAAGCAGGACAATGAATTGAAAGGATAAGAAAATCAGAGATGCAACGAATCTTGTGAGCAGGCTAACGAATCCGAAAGTATCTAGTCTGGACGCTTAATGGTCGTGATGATGGTGGCTATTAATGATCTCCAGGTGCCCAGGTGGGTATTTCCTACGTCTGCTTGCTCTGTTCCGGCGGAATGGAGTGTGAATGAATGGAAAGGAAGAAGTTCTACGGAGTCCTAATTCAAATCGTTGGACCCATTCCACACATTTTAAACGCCGCATCGTGCTTGTTCGTGCCGGAAGCCGCGGAGGAGACCTATGAAAGCAACTTCTGTGTATAATAATGCTCAGGTGCAAAAAGTTAGGACAGATTAGAAAGAGCCGATGATGTACCTAACTCTACTGTACGTGTTCTAATTTTTCCTAGCGTGCATATTCACTATAAATCGGATATCGGCTCAAAATCTACAAAACGTGACCACAACAACGACGACGACAGTAGAATAGGATGCCAATGCTCAAAAGTGGTTACCATACATGATACCGTATACTGTACACACCCGACGTTTCGTTGGATGATACAAATGACCATTCGAGGATCTAGATCTCCTTTCCAACAACGTTCATGATCCTATTGATGACTGTACGATGTAGCTGGGAAAAAAATACGAACCTAATAAAGTCCCCGCCATATCCGAACAGACAGTGCCATTCCGAGATACCGGGCTCTGGCCGCACCACACCGAACTTCTAGCAGGTACGATTTTTATGAATCTATGATATCTATAATACCTTTCTTTCAAATTCCTCAAATCAACACAACATTATTGTTATTTTGTATACCGAGTACATCAACGAATTGGGCACTGATCACTCAGCCAATCCATCTTCGATGAAACTTAAATCAGCAATCAATTTCCATATCAAGATTCTAGAATACAAGTTTTCATGCCCAGGTGCCCGTCAAAATGCAAGTAGTCGATGTCAGATCCACAACCAAACAGACAGAACCAAGAAAAAAAAATCTTTAACAGAAAAGATACTCCGAAAACAGGAACCCCCTGGTAATATCTTCACGTGAAGTTTCGGTATTTAGATTTCGCTATGGATATACCAAGCAGAGTGTCAACCCAATCAATATCCTTTGCGTCTGGGATCCCTTTCGCCCTTGAAATTTAAACTTTTTGAAGGCTGAAACTACTGTTCGATGTTGGTTGGAGTAACAGCATCTCGTCGTATCGAATTGTTAGACTCGCGAGACTTGATTCCAACTGACGTCTAAGCCTTGTTCCTAAGAGCACTCTGCCACCTTGCCCAGAAAACCTAATGTTGTACAGACTACGTGCCGATTTTGCGACGTACCATTTCTACATCCCCAAGTTGATTACAAACCTGAACTGATATGTTCTCTTCTTGGCCTAGAGATACAAGATCAGGGTTTTCTTTTCATAAGGCTATCTTATGATTGGCAATAATCGACAACAGTCTAGCTAAAAGACTTAAATTCATGTCCACAATTCAAACTACTCCATACAGATGCAGATGGCTTATTTAGTGGCATAAGAAACAATGACGAAGGGTGACAAGTATATCCTAGCAGTCTAAGACCCTAGGTCAGCGTCCAAACAAAAACCGCGTAGAATTGATATCGAAAGCATAATCATATTTCAGCGTTTTATAACCTCATCCTATCACTCAAAACAGGCACAGATCAAGTTGCAATCAGTACCTGCCAAGAGGAAACCACCCTTTGTAACATCTCATTTGGCGAACATCCTAAAGCATGTGTAAAGATCGGAAGAACTGCTGTCTATCACCCCGAGCATCCCCTCTAGCCCCTCAATGTGCGGGATACCTATCGTAGAAGTCCGAGCTTTTAAGCCACTTGCATCATCCTCAATTCGGAGTAATTAGATTTGTTCCAGAAGAAAAAGTCTAATAAATATCAATCCTTCTTCCCTGAGTATATCACCATCTAACATTTGGAATATCATCAAGGAGAACCTTCGAAACAAAGATACTCACCGGGGGGGAATCAATCTGTTTAGACGTTCGGGAACGTCACTCACAATCTATCTTGCATGAGGTTCCATTGCATTCATGCACCGATAAATTCACACACGTCATACCGGGGCGGCCAGTGTACACGGTGATCTTGTGTTCAACCACAAAAATCCCCATAACCACAGCCAAATTAGTTCATCTTGATTACATAAAGATGCCTGGAGGTGATGGAAAAGCTTCTAGAGTAGCGGTAGAACTTTTCTATAGGACCTAAAGTATTCACGCGCGACACGGTACTTCTTAGGACTAGTAGGATTCCAGAAGGAAAGCATAAACACGCACGGGAACGTTGAGATTAGTAACAGGAGAGAATGATACTCCAGCGTTCGATTAGTTCATCTCTTTTCTTTTAACAATTATGCCTCTGATTAGACTTCGCAAAGTCCTAATGAACTGTGGTCGCCTAGACTTTGTGTCAAGCCCCACCCGAGAATGAAGATGCACTGTCAAACACAACAATAATACATCAAGAGTTCTTGTTAGAGCCATGAGAACTTGAAATGTGAACTGTAGAGGAAGTCTCGAGAATTTAAGTCGCTGCTCCTACTCCGTAGTCAGACTTCAACTCCAATGTAAATAATATAACCCCACCGATCAATAAAAGGGCGCGCCTTGCCAAGCCTCAACGGTGCCTATGAATAGCATCCAAAGTAGCACACAACATCTGATATTCTGGTGTCAGCAGACTAAAAGATGGAACGCCTTTGATCGGATCTGTAAAATCAATACATATAATATCAATAGAGATAAGCAGCTACTCACTAGTATTCCAGCATCATTATCAATCATTTAAACAAAGACGAAAACATCGACGCAATTATCGATATGAAGTCAGCAACTGATCGCAAAACAGCACTCATCCTAATCGATGTTCAAAATGGCTTTCTTCATCCAACAGCATTTGGTGATCTCGCAACTCGCAGCACGCCGAGGTGTGAGGAAAATATCGCAATGCTGCTTAGGAGGGCCAGAGACTATAATGAAAAATCACTAGGGGCAAGCACCTCATCGCCCGTCCTCATTTGTCATGTGCACCATCACAGTATCAATCCTGCCTCTATGTTGCATCCCATCAAACAGATAGAGGTCGATGGAAAATCAGTGCCTGCAGTCCACCCACTGAAATTTGCAACTCCTCGTTACAACGAGAGGATTTGGACAAAGAACGTCAACTCGGCATTCATTGGAACGGGGCTGGAGAACTTTTTGAAGGAGAACGGCGTGAGGCAATTGGTCATCTGCGGTTTGACCACAGATCACTGCGTCAGTACATCGACGCGCATGGCGAGCAATTTGAGAATTGTCGATGTCATGGAGAATGGGAAACTTGTGGATGAAGGTGATATTGTGCTAGTGGGAGATGCGTGTGCAACATTTGCAAAAGGAGGAATTGATGCTGAAACAATACACCGAGTCAATCTTGCTAGTTTGGATGAAGAATTTGCGCAAGTAAGAGAGACGATAGATGTTGTTGAGAAGGTTTTCGTGGAGGTCTAAATATGTGACTGGTTTTGTCCCAAGCTAGCATTTTTCAGAGTTGGCTTGTCATATAATTCAAGAATGAAGTATAGATACGATGTGTAGTTTTGTGAAACCCAAAAATGAAATTGGATCTCCTCTCCAGCAAGATCTTGTGACTTTAAGAACTTTGAAGAGGTAGACGGCAACAGGTAACCTTGGAGAGTCTCTCCACATGTCAATGGAAGCAACTTTCTTACACATTGAGAGTAAATATTGAATATCAACATCATACTCATGCTGATAAAAATGACAGTAACAAGCAACGATGTGGTAGACAAATATCAATCGTTTCACTCGTTATATGCAAAGATTGTAAAGCAAACAAATCTCAAAAATCATACCTAAATTTTGAATTAATTTAATATTTTGAATGTGAAATGAGAAATTTACTTTAGCTTGGTAGGATCATTATTTTCGTACGGGGCCTCCGGGCCAAGTAAGCGGTAACGAAGGGCAAAATAAATAAAGAGATCGCGATGGACGCGACTGGGTAGGAGACGCGCAAAGTGGAAAATAACATTTCTTAATTCTCGTGTACATTCAACATTGGAGACTATTTTGAAAAATGGACTCACTTCATGAAGGTTATCCTGATGTCTCAACAGTCGATAATGCTTCTCAACCTTTAAAAGGCATGACTCTTTGCTGTACCAATGTTCCAGATGAAAAACGTGTAAGTTTTGTC